AAAAAAAAAAAAGAAATAAAACCTGGCAGCTTAGAAAAACGAGGACTACATTAGCTCGTTAGAAGTTTACGGCGAACCAAAAGGGACCCAGATTTTTTACATCGTTATTTTTCTACGGCCTTTTTAAACGGGATCGCGTTGCGTTCTTACCATCACGATCGTAATTTACCCATTGATCCGCCGATTACCTACGAATATATATACCTACGTTGAATAATTTAGTAAGGCGACGAAAACGTTTGTTAGAACCGAATGGTTTACGAAACGGATAACCCGTAGCGAAAACGACGAAAACTGCGACGATTTTCATAGACGATTTGTTTTCGACAGTCGACTGGCTACCGTGTATAACTGTGTAACGTAAGTTCTACATGAAACCCATTGTTTTATTATATTAACCCATTGTTTGGAACAACGCTCCGCGTAGATATAATACTTGCTTGTTAACAACGCGAAACATCGTTTCGACGATAGTGCGCCGCCGAATGCGTTGTATCTGAAGCAGCAGCTCGAGAAGACTTTAACGCGCAGACTTGACTGTGTGCCGACCACGTGGGATCAAAAATTCTTCGCAACTTCTCGAATAGATGTCGACATTTTGGCGACATTTCTCAAGGAAACTACCGTGCCCAAAGAACGTATCATGGCGTATCGCGAGCGAAAGTAGCAAAGTACGGAAGAAAGGAAAGACCGAAAGGAAGAAAGAAAAGGCGAAATCGTGTCTGTGTGCGATCGAAAAGATCTCGCGCGAACGTTTCTTTCTGGATTTTAAACGAACGTTGTTAGAACAAAGAGCGAGTTATTTTTACGTCGGAGCGAATGTCTATCGTTCGTCGTAATTTACGTGGAACTTTCGTTCGTTTCCGGAGGTTTTAGGATTGTAACGCGTGAACGTTTTACCTCGCGACGATTCCGCGAAGCTGTGCGACTAATTACACGGTTATTGTAATATCCGATATTACCCTCGTAAATGTTGAACACGTGACGCGACACAACATTTCCCTGTGAGTTGTAACTAAGAATGTCAATAACCACCGAGAAGACACAGTCATACCACGGACTTTTTTCTGTTTCCACTTTGATCGATCTTACGTTCTACGAAATATTTTCACTCGCGAAACGGTCCTAACATTGCTAGTTCTCCGTCAATGTGCCGCGTGCGACATGGTTCAGGT